GACCCCTGATTTAGCATATCCTCCCTGTAAGCGTTAGTGTCTGCAATGTTTCACAAATAATGGAGCATACGCGGTCAAATATTCATCTCACTTGAAACACGTAAATCTGTTTAATCGACGCGAAACCCCTTCTTAACACTGATGTAAATAATTTTAAACTTTTATAATTTTAAGTAGTAATAAGAGCTTTTCAGCAGATATTGCATAATTACGGACTGTTGTGTAGGCGACGGTGGGCAATCAGTTACACGCTCCGGTCGTTTTAATATGGGGAAATAGACTCGGTTACGCATTGAGGAGAGCCTTTAGAAGTTGCGCTCGAAGAGAGAACACGCACTGAAGAGTGTCAACGGAAAGATATCTTATATACTTGTCTATGTAAAAAATTGATATGGCCTATGTACTTCTACATGATAATGCTGCTGATATTAAGTAATCTTATGAAGCGAATCGTAATATAAGTAGTATGCTATATGTAATTGTCGCTTGTACGCAACAAGCAAATGATCCATTGATCATTTTTTTAATTATTTACTTATTATTAAAACAATATCACTATACATGAGGCAGAGAATTATTTGAATAAGTGTCCTGTTTTGGCTACCGTATGTGCCACCTTCAGGTTACATGCTTTGTGTGACCTATCGCGCAAGTTGGTATGCTGTCATATACACTTCACTTTCCGTTTTCCCAAGTTCGGATAACTGACATAAGCAACATTACAGTGCAGACCCAAATGCCAAGCAGCTACAAGGAGCAAACCCCCATATAACGTCAAAAAATAAACACAATACGCACAGTTACATGATCGTAAAAGAATAGCAAACAAATCCAGTTAAACAATGTACATTGTTATTTCCATATTAACCTTTAAACGCCGGACTTTTAACATAGTGATAGCTTGAGCTGGCCGGAGTGTATATACAGGGTGATTCAGAAAGATGGACACAATTTCAATTGGCTATATTTCCTGAACTACATGTTGCATTTGAATTCTGTAAAGTACATTTCAAAGATGATGTTGTAAAGTTTCTAATACTACAGCTAGAGCACTCCAGCACCGCGCCAGTTGTAAGCGAGATGGCTACTATGCAACACAAGATTTTTTTGCATTCGTGAGTTCAGTAAAAGTGAGTCTGTGACTGCGGTGCAGCGTGTATTTCGTCCTAAGTTTAACATCCAACATCCAACGAGGAAGAGAATTTATCGTTGGAATTAACAATTTGATGAAACTGGTTCTTTGCATAAGGGTAAAAGCAAAGTGACGCAAGAAATTGGTCATCGAGTGTGAGATGAGTTCAGCTAACGTCTAGATGTTATCCGTGCAGCTAGAGGGGGGCACATTGAACATCTATAAACGTCCATGTGTGTATAATCAAATATAATTTACAGAATTCAAATGCAACATATAATTCAGGAAATATAGCCAATTGAAATTGTGTCCCATCTTTCTGAATCACCCTGTAAATGCCCACTGCTGTTGCGTGTTTAGATGACCGTTGCTGCTCTGTGTTTAAATGTCAGTTCCTCTTAGGATGCTTATATTGTTATTAAAAATGCTGTATCTAATAAAATAGTTGTGATAAATGAATTGAATTAACTTAGTTTTTATCAGCAAAAGAACGTAGTGCCGCATAGTATAACGTCAAAATTGAACATATTTAGACAAGGAAGTTCTACTTTATTTTCAATCTTTTTTCTTGTAATTTTGATGCATATTCTAAAAATTGTTACCCCCTTCTTCATAGAGTTGTTCAGCATTATAAAATCACTCCTGTTTCTTGCACTTGAAATATTTTTGCTTTCTCTGGTGCCATAAACCAGCTGGAAGCAATTAAATCATTTAGTTCTCTGCTGGCAAGTTTAACATCTTTGTTACACTCTTCAGATATTCGAGTCTTTTGACTAAAGGACAGAAAAGTGAAAGCAAAGAAGGTTATAGGGTCTTTGTTCCCTTCTTCAGTGCCAAGCCCTTCCACTGCATTTGAGATAGAATATTGCCCTTTCTATAGTCGTAAACAAACACATGCATCGTAGATGAAACACAGAGTGCATCCAGTTTTCTGGAAGTTCATGGTGAATTCGAATACTGTAGTTTCGTATCGTCATAAAATGGCAGTGAAACGTTGTTTGGAAGATGATGAAATTGAAAGGTAACTGAAATGTGTGACGTGGGACTGCACTTTCGGGTGCTTCAAGAAGTACCATACAAAGGCGAGCTTCAGTTACACGAGGCGGGGGGTGAACGCTGTATATACATCAAGCAGACAGCTACAAAAAGTATGTACATTGAATTTTACTCTATTTGAAACTAAATATATAGGATTGTGCACGCGCTTCTACTAGCGAAGTGTGCGCGCGCTTCCGCTAGCAGAGTTCTAATGCCCGACTACTAAGGTATTTGACTGAAGGAACTGAGGAACACCACGAAATACGTTAGTCAAGATTGTTTATGTTACGGCTAAGATTCAAACCGGACACTTCCCGAATAAAAGTCAGAAATGTTACCACGTGTGATAACTTTATTGGTCCTTTGTTGGCAAACTGTGAAAAAGAAGAATATTGCAGAAACAAATTTGCATGAGGGGTTTGTGTGAGTACGAGGGCATGTATTGACATTTCTGTGCAGAAAACGGAGCCGCGTCAGAAGACGTTTCTTTCAACTGTGGCGCTGTAATAGAGTAAATACTAGGAGCTAGGTGAAACAAACATGGGCTGTTGTCTTCCTCCTCCGGGATGCAGTGTAAATATTGGCGGGCTGAAACACGAGTAGAGTTTGGGGCGGAGGGGGGGGGGGTATGAAGGAAGACGCGATCTTCGTAGGCAACAGGTTCCCCAGCGGCTTAGGCAGCCTAATTTAACAACCATTGACGTCTTCACGCACAGCTACAATCTGAGCTCCATCGATTTATGTTTATTAATTCACACTGTTTCATCACTTCCTCTGTACGGCACGTTGCACATTAATGACAGTGTATAACCTTCATGTGCTCCTCCCCTTTTTCACAAAGGATCCTGTTTGATTCATTTTCTCTTCAGGAAACAAGAGTTGTTACCTGTCCTGAAGATGCAGTATGTTCCTTCAACGTTCGGTAAATATCTACCAAACCATACGGTGTCGCCGTAAGAGAAAATCATATCTCACGCTGTTAGTTCTTTTTTTTATTGCTAGTGGGGTGGGACTAAGTCCCTTGTACAGCGGCCACTTCTGGCCTGTTGTACCAGCCCCAGATGATAGGTGAGGGGGATTGTGGAGCAATTGGTGAAATGAAGATTGGCAGGGAAAACCGAAGTACTCAGAGAAAACCTGCACCAACCCCACTTTGTCCACCACAAATCCCACTTGACTAGACCCGGGATCGCGGTGGGAAGCCAGCAACTAACCGCTTGAGCTATGGCGCAACCAGCGAGTTAATTGCTCAGAAGTTTGGTTTTTCGCCGTGTAGGAAGGAAGTTAACAGTAGAATGCGCAGAGTTACCATATGAGGAGCTTCTTATGTTCTCACCGTTTAAGGCTATTCTTCAGACTCTGGCCATCGCCGTGACGCTTCATACAAACAAGACGAAATTTCGGAAGTGGGGTACATTTTCATATGCAAGAGTACAGGATATAAACAGATTTACACTCTACTGGGCTTCTTGTTCGTTTGTAATTTGTTTAAGGACGCTGTCATTAATTCTTACCGCGTAGAGAATAGACGATGATGATGAAATTAGAAAGGATATGGAAGGAAGAGGTCATGAACTCATTCACGGTATAATCTGGCATTTGTTTGGAAGAAGTGAGAGATCAAAAAATGAACCCTTTCAGTGTATTTGTATCTCGGTTGAGCTACTTCAACGCCTTGGATCAGGGTGAGAATTCCTCCATTTTCTCTCCAACTGAAGACGGAAACAATAATTTCCATAATGTTATTTTAATAAAAATAAATAGGGCTAACGTCAAATACTTTAGAAATTTAATTCTTAATATAATTTTCCCACATAGTATTCAATGAAATAAAGAAACATAATAACTATTTACGAAATTTTAGTCGGAATGCCAGAAGAGAAGAAACCGCTTATGAAACTTAGTCGAAGATTTGTTAAGGTTCATATTAGAGACATGGAATGCGAGACCATGAACTGGGTTCGTTCTGTTCAGAATAAGGTACAAATGATGGATTTCATGAACACCGAATACAAAATTTCGCTCCAGCAGAAGCCGGAATTTATATATTATGTTGCAATATTCACTTACAGGTTTTAAGCTGTATGTGACAGCAACACTTCACTACTTCTATTGCAGGAACTTCATAGCCTCACATCGTTGGATTATCAAGCGGGAACGTACTCAATATATTGTAATTACCTAGATCCCTATTCAACCATTCTCGTATGGAATAGATAGCTTACTTATTGTGGTCTAGAATTATTAAGTTGCGCGTTCATTTAAGTCAGTAAGTCTCCCTAACTTATTTATCACTTATTTATTATTCAAGGTGATGCGTATTTCCAGGCTTGGTACAGAACAGTGAAAGTAGTTACTATAGGATTCTGACGATGGTGTATAACGCACAGAGATATTGGGTTTTCGGACTTTATCCATCGTCCTGGTTTTTTAAGATAACTAAGAAAAACACGACGTTTCGGAAAGTGGATCTGTTTTCGTCCTCAGGTGAGGGAAAAACACCTATTCTGTTTGGTCCCTTAGAAAGAGCTAGCCTCAATCAGTGGTCCAGGCTAGCTTTTTCTAAGGGACCCAACAGAATAGGTGTTTTTCCCTCACCTGAGGACGAAAACAGATCCACTTTCCGAAACGTCGTGTTTTTCTTAGTTATCTTAAAAAACCAGGACGATGGATAAAGTCCGAAAACCCAATATCTCTGAGAGCAGTGAAAGGTTATGAAAGTCTGCCAGTCTGTTCTGTAGGGCACTGCGTACCTGGCCATTTTACAGAGCAGCGCCTTATCTAAACCTCGAGACGAAGGAGTATTTGATTCCATCCCTCTGTGTTACAGTGCCGCCGGAGAAACTTGTAATTGTGGATGAGGAAGGAACGGAAAGGACTTCGGTCGTCGGTCCATACTCAGAAGGCGCCGATCTGGCTCTTCGCTGTGACGTGTATGGTGGTAAGTATAAGTATCATACATTATGCGACACACTCTTGGATAGAAAATTCTTAAAATAAGCATGCTGAACTGGATAAAGGCAAGGTAAAATTGTCCCTGTGGTTAACTACTTAAACACTACACTGTGAAGATTTATGGGGGTGTGGATGTATAGATCCATGTTTTCTTGACTTCTGCACTAACTGGAGTGTTCAGATTCACGCCATGATCGCTTTACCCCATAGGAAATAGATCCCTGTACCCATTGGACTGGGGGCTGGGTGAGCCCTAGATCCGGTCTGGACAACGTGAAGAAGAGAAAAATTCGTGACTGGTACACCGCTATGTATAAAGTAGAATTCTATCAAATGTAACTAATTATATGAGTAAGTAAAATTTGCTTCTGCATTGTAACGTATCACAAAAGCGGCCTCTGTAGTCATGACTCAAGGTACGCGGGTTCAAACCCGGCGGAGGTCGTGAAATTTTTAAGGGCGCAAAAATTCAGGGAACAAGTCCTCCGGGAGGGACTTTAAGCCGTGGGTCCCGTGTCGTAGATTTACGGCACGTAAAAGATCCTCTTGTCTCAAGGAGATCTCTGAGCAAAATTAGGCAACAATTTCCCGCCCAAGTAGATTCCAATGCCTCTGGTAGATGGGGGAAGCATCGGGTACCGAGGGCCGACCTCGTTGGCTGAACGGGGCTGATAGCACGCACCAGTACCGGTAGGGTATGGCGACAGTAGAAATTAAAGGGGGACCCACAATGGACCAGTAACTGGTCTAAGTGCATGGGGAAACCCACCCCCTCTAATAATAATAATAATAATAATAATAATAATAATAATAATAACCTATCACAAAACTATTACAGTGGGTGGCAAGCTCCAGGCTCATGCTATGATGTGTTATGTATGTAGGGTACCAGAGATGTGTGAAGACAACGGATAATGTATGAATTGCCTGGGTGCCAATAGATGGTTCTCTGAAGATGAGGTTCTATCAAGTTCTCCCCTTCCCCTGGGATGTTGTAGCTACTCAGCTCGCCTTTAGAACCATTGGCTCACTGTCATGGCGTGTTTTGATTGAGAGTAAATCTGGGCCAGGAGGCTACTTTAACTCAATGAAGCACGATTTACTTGATGTGCACTTGTTTTCCAATTTAATATCCCAGCCTAACAATTATGAATTTTGTTAATACAAGCTAATGTTAACCAGGATGTACATATACGTTAATTTCGATTGCAAATGTTGTGCTTATAAATGTATGGTGATTTTCTCGAGAGCCCGAAGGCCGTGCACATCTGTCTACATTCTGTCAATTACTAGGCACTAGAGTCGTTGGGCGTATTTCTACTTAAATGCAAGAAACTTGACTGACTCGTAATTTTTCTCCTTACTCACTTCATTCTAAATATAGGAGTATAAACCTCCTCTCAATCAAAATAAAACAGTTTCTCAGTTAGTTAGGCACACACATGGGTGGATATGCGATCCACTTGTAATCCAATCACTGCAGACTTCCAGTTGTCAATTCTAAATAACAGATATGACTTCCAAATCCGCTACCGGACACCTGATGTATTTTATACACTTGCCTACCATAGCAAATTGTTAGGGATATCAAATCCTAATAACAACCATTTAGAATTTCTGAAGGCATTGTTAATCTTACTCGTATGCTACTCAAGGTGTTTATATCAAAGCCTTCCTCCGTTCTGATCCTTCTGTTTGTTACATTGGCACGGGCCCTTTCCGTATCTGTTACATCCACTAACAAGTCTCAGGCTTCGCATTAAAAAGGAATAAACTGCCTAAATTTTAATTATATGTGCTGCATGCGGATTGAACTAGCACATGTTTCGGCCAATATTGACCAGTATTAGAATGCATAGTCAAAATGATAAAGTACAAAAACAAACAAACTCCGTGATTTTAGTCCGCAAGCGAACTATACCGACCGAGCGACCGCCTCATGGCGAAGTTAGTGGCAACTCTTGCGGATAGAGTGTGTCTCGTGGTCAGCGCAACGAATACCCACGGCCGTTAATTTCGGTTTTATAGACCGGAGCCGCTATTTCCTTGAAATAGCTCCTCAGTTATCATCACGAGCCTGAGTTGACCGCGTTCCAGGCCCACTACTTCTCAGAAAAAATCTGGTAGCGCCGGGAATCGAACCCGGACCTCTGGATCTGTAGCCAGGAACTCTGACCACTAGACCACAGAGGCAAATTGAAAATTGTTACCTAAGTACTATAAACGGACTTAAAATAGTTATAGACATTAAGACTAAATTGTTAATATAATTAAAATAATGTGACATGACGTCAGAAATCCGGAATATTGGAGCCGGGGCGGACGTCCATTGTCGAACAATGCTTCGGTAACGCAGTCAAAATAGGGCCTCCGTTACCAGGTAGGACGTTGCTAGACTGGAGTTTTCTGTGACAACGCATTCATGACGAACAGTAGAGGAACCCTTGGGGGCGGTGACCTCTAACAGGGAATAAATTCCGTGCATTCAAACTGTGGTAATTCTTCAGATAAATTCGTCAGTTATAGCCATTAAGGAGGAATTCAATATGTGAACTGTTATAACTGTAAATAAGTGCCAGTAAACCCAATCATCAAATCCAGAACACGTTATTGTTAGTCACGCTAACCCCTTACACGTGGCAATAAGTTATAAATAAGAACTCACCTCCACCTGATGCAGAGTCAAGAAAACGTGGGTCTATATATCCACTCCCCCACACGTCTTCATTGCATAGTGCTTAATTAGGGAAACTTAACCTTTATCTATGAATATTAAGAGCAACTGGTTACAATAGGATGAATTGTTATGAATTGTTGAGTAGATATAATATTTAATGCCGTCCTTCGTTTCTGTTGCTGGTTACATAGAATATTTTATTAACTCTTAATGTAGGGCTTCTTATCTCTTATGTTCGTTTTCATATTGAAATATTATTAATGATTATTAATTAATCGTTGTCACAACTGTGTGACATGTACAGCATTTGAATTTGTAGGTATTTACCTTTTTGCCATCTCGCTGAACACTGTATGGTCTCGATATGTGATACAGCGTCTTTAAATAACCAAATAATCAATTCCTATGAAAAATATTTGGATCTAAGATGTACGGAATTCCAGAGCAACGAATGTATTTTTATGACGCGTTCTAATAAAGTGTCTTTTGCCGTGGGCAGAACTACTCAGTGAAAGAGAGTGTGCAAGTTTCATGTGTGTTTTCATAGAGCGATGGTTGAACATAGACCAGTGGGTTCAGTTACAGAATTCTGTTTCCCTATCATGCTACCATATATCTGTTATCCGGTACAGGGAATTCGCTTGTTCGTAATTAGTTAGTTATTGGAGAGGGTGGGTTTCCCATGCACTTAGACCAGTATTGGTCCATTGTGCTTCCCTCTATGATATTCTACTAGTCTCTATACTCTACCGATAATGGTGCGTACCATCAGTCCCGCCGAGCAAGCGAGTTCGGCCACTTGCTTGGCGGTGTCTATAATGCTTCCCCCATCTGTCAGAGGCCTTAGAGACTATTGTTGGGCGGGAAACGTTCTGGAATTTGGCTCAGTGATCTCCTTTGGAGATATGAGGTTCTTTTACGTGCCGTAAAGTTACGACACGGGACACACGGCTTAAAGTCCTTCGCGGAGGACTTGTTCCCTGAATTTTTCCGCCCTTAAAAATTCGACGACTTCCGCCGGGTATTTGAACCTGCGTACCACGAGTCATGAGGTGGGAACGTTACCTCTAGACTACGGAGGCCGCTTTTGTTCGTAATTAAATCAGTTATTCAGAGGAATCAAGTCGAAGATCATAGGCACCAGCAAGCAAGTGGTCAGTTACTCTGTCGATTACATGACGGAATTTAGCGCGCACGGCAATGCCTTGTGTCCAGTATGCGTGTATGTTAATATGACCGCTACCTGTGCAAAATATTATATGAATTTTTAGATCTGGTCATACTCAACAGAATGATCAGTGAATCTGGTCAACTACACTGAGATAAGCATTGTAGGGCGTATATGGATTATAAGAGGGCGTGTGCAGTTCGAGTTACAACTTGTTCCCTGCTCCGTCAGCGTCTCTTCCCAACCCCTGGGGCTTCAGCAAGCAAGCGACGTTGCTCTCTCTGCTGGCTTCTTTTCAACAAACACTGCGCGAGCAATCTTCCTGCAGCACACCACTCACCCTTACCATCACTTGAGACAACCCCACCCTTCACCCTACAGGCATGTGCTGTGTAATTTTTCAGCCAGTAGAGTGCTGAATTCAAGACAAATACGGTACTGTCAGCGTGCTTTGGTCTGTGTTGGAACGGGTGCTGGCTGACTCCAGCTGCATAGTGCAAGTTGCTTTTAGCAACATATTCTATACCTAAGAACCACTAAAAGCAATGTGAAAGGAGAACTTTAGGAAAAGAAATGTACGGATAAGAGCGAAGAAAAATACTTTAAAGGGTGGAAAAGTTCAAATTCTATGTTCGAAGGAGTTTGGTAACGACTTTTAACATTACTTTTGACTCCATGTGAACGTTCATACGTTGATTGATGTGGGAACACCTGAATTACTCTTCACAATTATAGCTTTTTGTATAGTTATGCACACTTCCCACTTTCATTGGACTCGATTGTATGACGTACAAAACGGCGGGTATGTGTGTTTTTTTTTATAGCGCAAACAGTGAATTCAAAATTTGTGAGATTGCGTCTGACTGATCGTTAAAGTCTTATTTTCCTGCATTGTTTTGTCACACAAAAATTTGATCGTGAATTATCAATACCAGAAAGGAAGACGTAAAGAAGCTGATGTTAAATAAACGGAAGGAAATATCGAATTCGACGAGGCCACAACAGGTTAACCCTCGAAAAAAGTGCAGGACTTTTTCTGCTCAGCGACATCCCTGGTGGTTTCACTTAAATCTGACATATAGCGCGACTGGCCGTAGTTCAAACAATGGCAGCAGGTATGTCTTGCCTTGTGGTTAACTAA